GGTTAGTTACTAGGAAACATTTTGGCTTTTAATGTAACGGACTTCACGGGGCTCAGGACCTATATGCAAGTGGGTGTTACCAGAATGGACATTATGCAGCACAGACTCCGCTTGTTTGTAAGCGCCTCAAAAGGAAGGCGGCCTGTTGCATTGAGGACAATGACTCGGATGGAGATCAGTCAGTTTTTCTCTTGAAAGCAAATTCTGATCGGTTCGCAGATGGACTTGATTGATTAGCCATGTCTTCCGTGGTTGTCTGCCTTAGTCATCCTTCCAACATGGATTCTAGTTTTGCTTGTCCTAGGAGCCTTGCTCCAACCCATCCAGTCCAAAGGAGCTGCATATTCTGACCATCCCTGGTGTGTCCTGTTCCTAAGCTTTACCGCGACGCTTGCTTTTCATTATTCTGGGGCAGCCACTTATAGGACATGCAGATTCAGTCCATTTAGTTTACGTCTCAATATCTGTTTTCTTATTTGTCAACAGAGAATAATATGTACATCATCTCTAGGGATTTCTTTATTTAGTCTAAGGATTTTTAAGAATTATGAGATGATAGATTTACAGCATTGTGGTAGTTACATAATCTTGTCAATTTGAGTATTAAGAGTGAAGGGTGGAGTCTAGCCTGTCAATCAGGTTGCAGCTTGACCTCATTTGGAGGCGCTAAGGAGATAAATAGCTCCCTAGAGGCAGGACACAGGCCCACTCCCTGAGAGACATTTCTGAGGATGAGTCACAGGAAGCTATTCTGATTCAGCCAGACCCCTGGGGAGCTAGAGGAGCCATGAGAAGCTTACAGCACCACTGGATCCATAAGACTTCCCACCCACTGGCCTGTGATCTTTCTGCATTTGGCATCATTGCATGTGTTTCATGAGTCTGACGAGGGCTTTATAGATTGGTATCAGACAACATGGGCTAATATCGGACTTAGGGACTTCATCTGGGCTGTTTTCTCAATATTCAATTTCTCTTGTAATATAAACCTCTTTCTTATACACTAGTGTCTATGAATTTGTTTCTCTAGTCTACCTGGACTGACACAAGCATCATAGAAATGCTGCAGTTTCCTTTTGGCTGTAAAGCACACAATCGGTGGTCAGTAATATTAGTTTCTCCCATCCCAATCATGGGACTTTGATGACAGCAGAGACTTGCGTGTATGCCATTTCATATCCCCAGATCTTTCTGTATCCCCACATCTATTTGGAGTTTCATTTGGGTGTATTTTTCCCTTTCTCATTTTGTCCTGAAAAAGACAAGATATTTTATCTTCCAGGCTAATGAGTACATCTCAAGCAGGGTTCAGAGTATATTCGGAGAGTATTTTTGCAATTCTATTCAGTCCCATTCTGTGGCATTACTGGACAATTATTTTGAATAAACTCATCTTCAAGGTACCCTTAGACACTGTGTTATACACCAGCTGGGCACAAGTAGTCAGCCACCTACTCCTTTACCTAAAGAAAGTTTACCAGCTGTCACGCTCCCTGCCTCGTTCTCCACCCTGGGTTCTCCCCTGGAAGCCCATGAGTAGCATGGCCCATGGACTGGGAGACTGGAAATTGAAGAAAAACTGAGTTATCTATATTTACAACCTGCTAAAAATGGGATTTAGCACACATTCATGACATTTAACTTTCTGTCTCTTCCACCCCGACCCTTTCTCTTCCAACTGTATTTCGATGCTTCATTTGCTTTATTTGTTTGCTGTTTATTCGCAGGCTCTATGTGAAAAAGAGAGACTAGTTTCCCATGACCTCGCACCCTTGAGATGTTTTACACACACGGGTATAGGCAGATCAAATAAACAGGAACTTAGGTTCATTTAATAGAAAAAATAAAATGTGGAAATAACATTGATTTTGGCCAGTATCACTTACAACCATTCTACTATATTTTACAAAAAAACAACTGAACATTTTACACATGTACAGTATTTTTCAGTAAAAGTGGATTTGGATTTAACAATGGAGCACTAATCGAAAGTTAAGTAAAAGACAAGAGAAAACAGAAAATAGATAGGACTGTTGTCTCCAGAAAGTTAAGAGCATTTGCTAACCCTCCAAACTTTGTACGATCCATTACACATATCTCATTATGAATATATATATTTATACATAATATATAACATTAACTTAAACTTTGAAAGCAGTGTTCTAGTGACTCATGTTACGTAGATGAAGAGGCAATAACACGTTAGGAGTTGAACCAGTATTTCTGTGACGTGACCCTGCAGGGTCAGTGACCAATGGACTGCATGCGATGGACTCCAAGGAATTTGCCTGTCACGTGTGTCATGTCTCAGGACACAGACCCCAGTCTGCTCTTTCGCATCATCGTACCCTGTACCTCACATCTTTTGGGCGAGTTCTATGAAATGGGCTTCTTGGCAGGCATGTCTGGAGGACGCCATCGGCTTGACCTAGCTTGTGGCTTGTGCTTACATTTGTCCATAGGGCTGTGCTTGAAATGTCAGACTCTCTACTCGGTACCCAGGGTTAGCTTGCTTTCCTCAGGTCCAAAGGGCTTGCAGTGTGATGAAGAGGAAAACGGTTTAGTAATAGCTGTTGCTAATCTCGTTCTTTGAGTCATGTGCTTCACTACCGCTACAAGGCTTCTAAGAGGGCCATGGGACATAGGGGTCACCCTGGGCTGGAGGAAAGCTAGCCTTGCTTTCTGGGAATGGCTTTTCAAGATTGGCCTTGGAGTAGCTTGCTGCTTGGCGGAAGGCCACAGCACCCACTTCCCAGTCCCCTCTCTTTCTCAGTGTCCTCCCCGCCCCCCTTCAGCTGGGAGGGCAGTGAGGCTCTGAGAAACCTACAAGAGGGCTGACCACTCCCAAAGCACCCAAGCTCATCCATAAAGCTCTGAGGTGAAAAATGAAGAAACTTGATTTTGGTCTATGCTTCTCTGGGCAGAGAAACTCAGAGTTGGTTAAAAAATTTAAAAATCTACCAGGCTTTTGCTCATTTCTGACGATGGAGCCACCACAGTGTTCTCATACTTCTACCTGCTCCTTTTCACTATGACCCGTGGGAGTCCGAGAACCAGTGGAGATATTTCCAAGAAAACAACACTCAGGGGACAGGTGTCACAGCGTGACGAGAGAGAGCCAGAGAGGGAAAATAACATAACCAGAAGGGGACAACCATGCTGCCCAGTCTAGTTCCAGTTTCATTGTCTTTAAATGACAAGATGAAAAAACTCTAATCAGCACCGTTGAAAAAGGTGCCCGGCCATTTTGAGCACGGGCTTAAATATCATTTAAATAAATTCCACTTATTAAAAAATACAGGAACTTTTAGAAACCTTTGACTCCATGAAAATATTTCTCCCATCATATGCAAAGTGCTGCCCACCATCACTTAGGGAATTTTTGATGGTCTTTTAAAAAATGCTATGCAGACAATGGCTAGGTGTAGCACCAAGAGACTGTGCAGGGGGCCCGCAGCTGAGCTGGGCCTGGGCTAGCTCCGTCACCAATGGGACTCTCTGGAGCCATCCCATTGGACTCGCTGGCTGTGGATAAGATGACCCAATCGACAGTGCAAATGGCAAGTCTATCTGATGAAACCAGTGAGGCAGACTTATCACGTGAGAATAAAGCAAGAGTCAGTGTGCGAGGCAGGACGTAAATGAGGTGTGAGGCGTATCAATGCTCAACTGCGAACGCTGCTGACAGAACAACACTGAACACGACTCCGGGGCTGCTCTTGATGCCCGCAGGTCCAGTCGCCCAGCGTTTCCCCCTGTGGTGGACAAGAGCATGGACAAGGACTGGTCCAGGAGCTTCCCCTTCCCCTTGGACCCACACTGCTCTTGTGAAAGGTATTTTTTTGATGTCGCATGGGAAACAAACAAGTAAATGCAAAAGGCGGGGGGACCTTCAAGACCGGGGCAGGAGCTCTATCATTACTTTCCTGTCAAATTTTGGCATCAAATGCTTTGGTCATACAATACTGTCTCTGTGGCTCTGGCTGCTTAGTGCTAAACACCCAGGTATAAAAGGTAGGCTTGTTGTAGGCTTATTATTATTTTTTCCATTGAAGTTCTAACAAAACAGTTCACCATCTCCCTGTACAGACTTGAGAGAGAGAGCAAGAGAGAAAGGAGAGAGCAAAAAAGAGAGGTGGCTTGCTTTTTTTTTTTTTTGCTTGTGTGGTTTTTTTTCCTTTTAATAATAATATGGAGCAACCTAGGTCTACAAGAAGGGCGGCCGCTCAGCCGTGGGACGCGCAGGTTCTGCAGCACAGCTGTTGGAGAACCTTCCGCTTGCACAGGTTGTTCTTTTTCACAAGCACACAGAAGCCTCCTTCCGCCCAGGACTCTTCCGTTGCTTTTCCCGGAAGTCAGCAAGAGGGGGGGTAGTTGAGGACGAGAGCAGCGTGGTGGGCACACACGGAAGAAGGTTTTGATTGGTCAGACAGGCAGATGGGGAGGGATCATTCAGGAGCAGTCAGCAAGGAAGGAATTTGGTCCACCCAAAGCGATTTCAGTCAACAGCATTGGTTTCGCGGAGAGAAATCGCAGTCCAGCAGGAAATGTGATTGGTATCCATTTATGAAGGAGGAGGGGGGAAAAAAAAAGATTAGAAAAAGAATAAATTAGAAATAAACCATAACATAAGCAAGCCATCTTCCTCTTTAGGATGGCCTTACTGAGCCATATGATATTTCATCGAATCTAAGACACAATGCATTGGGAAATCTTCCTGTATTTTCATGAGTTAAAAGTTGAAAGATTTGCTTCCATCGTGTCAATTCTGACTCATGGCAACCCTGTAAGACAGAGTTGAACTGCTCTGTGGATTTCCGAGGTTGTGACTCTTTACCTTACATAAAGCCTCATCTTTCCCTCAGAGTGGGCTGGTGGGTTTGAACTGCTGACCTTGTGGTTAGCAGCCCATTATGTCACCAGGACGCCTCAATTATCTCATTAGCACTACTTAGAATTTATTTATTTTTTGTTTGTACTAGTTTTATTATTTTATTTTTAAAAATATGGAATGCTTCATGAATTTGTACGTCATCCTTGCACAGGGGTCATACGCTAATCTCTATCAGTCCAATTTTAATATATGTGCCATGGAAGCAAGCACAGCATTTTCATTTTATACTCCAAAGTATTTATTACACGTAACATGCTGGTTTGTTTCTGGGTTTACAGAAGAACATTGAACCCATATTTAAGTTTGGGGAAGCTATTTTGAATTGCAGTTAAATTCAAAACAATGAGTGGAAACTATGGTCCTAACTGTTGACAGGCGGTGCTTTGACCAAGCCTCCTACGTAGGCACAGCCAGCTGTGTCACATGCCGGATGGATGGCTTGCTCTCAGCAATGCTACCAGTACACAAGGCTGTGTCTTAGAATCGGTGAAATCAGACAGCAGGGAGAGAAAGGAGAAACAGCACATCCTTAAATGTAATTGCCCCGTGAGCCACTAATAAATGCATTCTCTAGGAAATCTGAAAAAAACTGCTCTAAGTTGTTCTTCAGAATGAGGGCAACATAGGTGATACGAGTTGTATGTAATCCTGACACTTGGCTATCGCCAAAGTGCTAGTTGCCAAACCTTCTTCCAGTGCTTACCATGGCTCAAGCATCACCAACCTTGAAAGGCACAAGTCCTATGGGAGAAACTGTCAAGCTAAGGTGGGTTTCCTGAACTTAATTAATCCCTGTAAAAGCTTCTTTAGTTTTCAAGTAACTGCCATGATGACGAGAATTAATCCCGGTCATACCCAGGATGTGCAGTTATGATTGGCCCTGGGGAAGACACACACAGAGGCCATGCGGATCTGGCTCGTTCTCCCCAGCACAATCGCACATCAAGAAAGCTGACCCAAAACCCCTCTGCAGCTCCATGGAAACCAGACCATGGCACCGCCCTGTGCCCAGCTCTAGTCCTAACTTGCTCAAGGCTTGGGGACCAGCTACAGCACCGTTGGGGCATCTGCTGGATTTCCAGATGAAGAAATCTTCAAAGGGAGGGAAAGAACAAACCCCAATCCAACTCACTGCCATCGATGTGATGCCCACTCAGAGTGACCCTGTAGGACAGGCGCAAGTGCCCCAGTGAATGTCCGAGCCTGTGACCCCCGGGAAGTAGGAAGCCTCGTCTGTCTCCGAGTGGTGTCAGCAGCCCAACGCCGAGGCCACCACAATCCCTCCTTGTCAGGTTACGGTTCCCGGCGGTGCAGGGAGATGCTGAACCGAAGAGTCCGCGGTTTTTCTGCAGGAGAATGAGGTTTCTAATCCGGTAAAAAGTGACCATCTTAGAAACCCACAGGGGTTCTTCGACCCTGTTCTACGGCCTCCTCACTCTGAGTGGGAACCAACTCGACGGCAGTGAGAGTTTTGGTATTTTCATAGTAGCCAAAGTCGCTTGGAGCAAGCATGACTCAAAACCTCGTCTTTCCACAGCACGGAAATGGTTTGAGGTCAACCTTGTCATACATTAGAGCTCCCTTAGTTTGAGTTATGTAAGAGGAAAGAAGGAAAAGTTCACAGAATGCCTAGAGTGGGAATACTTTCAATCCACTCATTTGACAAATAAACTCTTGAGGGGCTTCTAAAAGTGCTTCGCGTCTGGCTGTGCCTGCCCCAGACCACTCCAGGGAGCCTGGGGGCCTGCAGAGGCGAAAGACAGCAAAGTGGACCAACATTTCGAAACTGTAAGCTCCATACTCCTTTCTTCTGTACAACTATCATTTACTGCTTAGCTTCACGGGGTTAATGGGATTCCGAGGTTCAGAGGCTATTTGCTGATGACTGACCTTTGCCATGCCGGTTTGTAAACATTACCAACCAATGTGTTAGGACAAATGGATAATTCCTCTGTCCTCAACTGTTTTTCATGGTTCATTTTCCATCAGTATTCCTTTACGTATGTTCTAGTAATGGGTCAGAAAAAAAGGAAGGCTCACCTATCATTTCTATGCTTTTGATTGGAATACTAAAAAAATCATGTTAAAAATTCTCAAGATTGTCCATAGGTAGAAATCCTAAATAGGAATGAAGGCCATGGATTGACCCCTCAAAAACATAAGCAATCCAAACAACGGTGAGTGATCTTAAAAAATATATATGTATATATTTTTAGTGGCAGAAAACAAGGGTAAAAACAACTATGGCACTTTCAAATGATACAATATTATGCTATTAAAATGAAATTTATGACTGTAATGTCCATATTTAATGTTTACCACACAAAAAAGTATACAACGCTCAATGCATGTGGAAAAAGAGTGAAAAGAAACAGTAAAAATTAGTAGTTGCAATCCTTGACTAGTAGGATTTTGGGTGATTTATTTAATTCTTGTAATTAAAAAAAATGCCATTGTGGGCTTGACTTCAGGATAAATGGATGTCAACAGGTACTGGGCACGTCCTGTCGGATAACAGCCTCATGGTCTCTCTTTTAGTGGAAATGCATGAAACCTCAAGAGAAAAGAAGTCGCCTTTGGGGAGACCCGAACAAGCAGGATACTCACCGTCTTTGCAGACTGCTCCCATCTGACACGTCCCCAAGTCTAAGAGGTACCCACTGGGGCAGCTGGTACAGTTCTTGAACCCTGGACCACTGCAGGTCAAGCAGGTGGCATCACACCTATGGAAGCAATGCACCATCGATTATCCTTTCCCCGGTCCAGCACCGGAGAAGGTACGTTTACTATCCACGTCCTGGTAAGTCTTACGCTGAATTCTTCCTCTGATGAGAACGGCTAAGCCCGACAACATGACAAAGCCCAGCAGGCAGAACGAGTGGTAGCAGCTATTTCAAATAGAATATTACTTTAAAGCTTTTACAATGCTGCTGAGGAAATGAAAATATCCAATGTAATTTGAGTAAAAGTTACCAGCCAAGGCCCTTTTATCAGTAAAGATCCTGAGTTTGGCAGTTCTGCAAAGTTACATACAAAACGACTGATAGGTGCAGCCACACCACTGTTCCTCACTGTCACCCTGATGAGCCCAACTCACAGCCATCCTCCAGGACAGCAAAGCTTTACAGGAGTAGGAAGCCTTATCTTGCTCCCAAGGAGCAGCTGGTGGTTTTGAACTGTTGAAACTGTTGGCAGTTCAACTCACTACCTGACCAGGGCTCCTGGACACCGATGTTTACTGTAGCAAATTTACAATAGGCCCAAGGCGGAAAGCAGCTAACTGTCCTGAAGTTGATGAAGATACTTGAAAAGGTAGTATTCCCAGACAATGGAATATTATTTAGCCATAAAGAGGAGGGAAGGCCTGGTAGCATGGATAACCCTTGAAAATATTATGCTGAGTAAAGTCATACAGTTATCAAAGGGCAAATGAAATATCAACAACTGGCACGCGAATTCAGATGCAGTGGTGGTTACCTGGGGCAAGAAGTCATTTGTTTGTAAGCACTGAGTATCTGTTAATGGTGGTACAATGTGATTAGTATCAGTGAATTGTATATGTAAAATAATGTAAACTAGCAAATGCATTATATGCTTTTACCACGCAAAAAAAACCAACACACTCCAATACAAAAACACCCCCCCCCCAAAAAAAAAATTAAGGTTTCATATTATTTAGGAAGGAAGTCAATAAGGAAGCAGGAATCTCAGAGAAAAATTGTAGGAGCAAGTCCTCTTACTTTTTGCAGGATTTGGATCTGCTCTCCGAAGAGTGGTCAAAGTAGTAGTTGACACTACAGCTCGGCACACACCTGCCGTCCTCCAGGAAGTAGCCCTGGATGCAGGTCCTGCACCCATCCGCCCCTGCCCCTGCACAGCAAGACAAACATTGCTCCATCAGAGGAGGGAAGAAGAAAGCAGTCATATGTTTTGATTTCAAGAGTTGTAGTTTCCTATGGCTTTTTCTTACAAACAACCCAGCTTCCAGATTAAACTGAACCATTTTGCCAAAACAGCACATCTCTTTGGAAAGCGAAGGAGACACCATTGGAATCTGAGGCTTGATTCACCCACTGCCACGGAGGGGATTCCAACCCACAGCAACCTGAGGCTGTCAATCTTTTTTTGTGTGAGTGAGTCACTGAGGGAGGCAGTGAGTGAGAGCTTCACCTTTCTCCAGCAGATAAAGGGTGGTGGCCTTGAGCCACTGACCTTGAAGGTAGCAGCCAAGGCTTAACCCACAGAGCCACTGGACCTCACTGTTTGTCAGTCAAGGACAAGGTGACAGACACTTGCATGCTGACCGAGAGAGAAGTAGCAAGTGCGCCGCTAGGTTGGTGATGACCTAAAATAAACCCAAAACAAGGCCTGGCCGGAAGACTGAAGGAAGGGCTTGAGGGAGCTGGCAGGGGTGGTACCAGCACAGGTGGCGCAGAAGCGGTGGCAGGGCTGACAATCCTGGCCATCGAAGTACCATCCGTCCTCACAGGAGATAGCGCACCGCGATGCCTGCAAGCTGGAAGAGAGACAGTGTTACACAGACTGCCGTGACCCAGGCGAAGGGGTGCCACCTGGCAGAGGCAACAAAGAAAGTTTCCCTTGGGGATGAGCACACATTTGGCAAAGCACAGGAAATGTACTCTCCCCTCTGAGGCCTACCGACTTTGCTGCGCCAAGACTGGGGCCTGCAGCATGTCTACACCGATGCTGCGAAGCTTTGGGGGACAACTCTTCTCATTTTCGGCTGGGCCAACATGCTGCCATTTCGGTCAGCATCTCTCAGCTCCGAGGCTATGTACTGGCCAAGCCATCACATCACTAACAAGATGGAGAACTCCGACTAAGTATGTTTCATGTTACTCTAGAACTATCGATGCAGTAGCAACAGGTGGTGAGATGAACTGCACCCAAAGGAAGGTGCACAGTGATATCTTGGCTGATCAAATTTTTTAGTGTTTCTGATTTTAATTTCTCTATTGTTACCATCTAAAGAATAACACTAACGTGCTTCTGCCTATAAAATCAAAGCACTTCCATCTAGTCATTCTGGCTCATAGTGCCCCGACATACGGTTTCCAAAGCTCTCCATCTTCACAGGAGCTGAGAGCCTCATCTTTCTCCCTCAGAGAGGCTGGTGGGTTTGAACAGCTGACCTTGTGGTTAGGACTTACCTAAGTGTCACCACGACTCTGCTTACACTTCTTAATACATTAATGTTAACCACTCGAATGAGGAACTAGAGCATAATTACCTACGAATGCTACTACTTTAATACTGTACATAGCAAGTCGAGATGTTTAAACAGTTAAATTTACCTTTTGCACCAGACACCCAAGAGTTGCCAGAAAGTTGGGTGAGGAATGTATATCTTCTCCTCTCCTTCCACCTAATCTCTATCAAGGACACTTTTTCAGTTTCCAACTTAAGATTACAAAAACCAAATACACAGGATTGACAACAGTTGATACATTAAGGAATAGCCACTGTAGTGTCAATGGAGTTAGAGCGGTGAGATCCAGTGTCCCTGAAGCAATGAGAGTGTGTGTGTGTGATCCATGAGAGTCAACTGCTTTCCAGCTCCTAAGTCCTCTGTGTGGCTTCAGTTCACACCTCTGACTGTTTCCCAGATGGCTTATACTAATTTTAAGAAATAAGATTCATCGTTCCTTATACTCATTCAAGAAAGCTGCCAGATACAAAAATAAGGTGGACGAGGGACCTTCCCAAACAGGCCCTCGTCACAGTTTAATCCATTTCTATCCAGTATTGTAGGCCACAACTTTGTTTCTCTCCCTGTTCCTTCTTAGCCACGATTTAAAACTTGACCAGTCTCTTGAGAAAAATGGCCTTAGAAGGAAAATGCAAAATCTCCAGGAGGCCAAGACCACCAAACGGAACTGTACTTCCTCATCTTCTCACTAGGACCAGAGAAGGCCAGTAAGCCCATGAAAGAAAGTGCCCTTTTCTCCTGAAGCACTGGCAAAGGCATCGATTGCATCCAATGGCATCTTCTGGTGAAAAGAAACGGGACCCCTGAAAACGGGACCGAGGGAAAAGGTGCCTCAGTTTCCCATTAAAGCCAGTACTTTTGGGGTTGGCATTCATTCAGCAGGACACAGAGTTACGTTAAGCGGGACAGGCAGCACAGAGCAGTTGCTGTGCCTAAAGGACTGCGATCATAGGCCAGCGGGCCTGGTGCCAGGAAGGCCCGATGAGAACGGCCATGCTCTTTCTTTGATAAAGCCCTCCTTGAAACGTGGCCAGCATGGTCATGGACCCGAGTTTCAGATGTCACTTAAGTTCCCGTCTTTCCAATTTGATTTAAGAAATTGATTCGATTATCGGTAAGCCGAAGTAAGTTTGGGAAACCTGGTCTTGTAAATTTACCTTTTTGGAGTAAATTTTATGAAATCTACAATACAGATGAAGTATTTCTTACAAAAAGTTCTGGCTGACTTGATGGGCTAATGGTAGCACACAGAGCCAAGTTCCAAGACTCCATGTATGAAAAGGAAAAGCCGGCCAGTACTCTTTCATAGGGATTCCAGGCTTAAACGACAATATTCTGAACATATTTGGTTAAATACAATACTCTACTCGAATCAATTTCACCTTCTAAAAACAATTTCCTTTGACGTGGCTATTAGAATATTTAAACTATGTGTGTGCCTCTCGTCACAGTGATATTGCAGACCAGTGGCCGACTCTCTGTTAAATATTTACTGAAGAATAAAATGATTTGGAGGGAGGATGGGGTGGAAAGGGGGAACCGATTACAAGGATGTACATATAATCTCCTCCCTGGGGGACGAACAACAGAAACGTAGGTGAAGGGAGACGTCAGACAGTGTAAGATATGGCTAAATTATAAAGGGTTCATGACCGAGGAAGGAGAGTGGAAAAATGAGGAGCTGATGCCAGGAGAGCAAATGTTTTGAGAATGATGAGAGCAAAAAATGTACAAATGTGCTTTACACAATTGATGTATGTCTGGATTGTGATAAGAGTTGTATGAGCCCCCAAGAAAATGATTAAGAAAAGAATATTTTATATTTTATGTAACTATCCACATTTCCTACGAAACACCAAAACATAAAGCAAACCCACTGCATCTAATCGATTTCCATATTTAGTTACCCTACATAGGATTTTCAAGATCACAAATCTCCATAGGAGCAAACAGCCTCATCTTTATCCTGAGGAGCTGCTAGTCAGTTTGAACCATCGTCCTTTTGGTTAACAGGCCAATGTCTACTCCACAGGAATACCTGTGTTCCTTATGGAACATCAAGTATTAGAAAATATTTTATTTCTTATGAAACATCTGGGATAAGTGCTATGTCAAGGTTCACCTAGTTAATCCAGACCATAATTCAACAAAGTAAGGGCTCTTGACCCTGATTGGTTATGTGACTTGCCCATGGTCACACAGCTTAGAAAGCAAGCAAAACCAAAGCTACTGCCATGAAGTCATTTTGGATTCGTGGCACCTCTGACGAGTGTTTCCAAGGTTGTGAATCTTCATGAGAGCAGACAGTCTCATCTTTCTCCCACAGAGTGGATGGTGGGTTTGAATTCCCAACCTTTGATCAGCAATGCAATGCTTTCCCAAGAGCCTCGCCCAACTCAGAGAACGGGCACCTAGATCTACCTTTCTTCCAATTGTGCTGCTTTGCTCCTTCTGCAAGAAGAATTAGGCATTGGAATTGATTGAATGATCACTGAAAGCATTTGGGAAGAAAAGAGGTAGCAGGCCAGAGATCCAACATCCTCCGAATGAAAGTGTTCCAATGTGATTAGTGTGCAGAAAGACTTGCCTACAAACTGCTATGCAGGTAATGCCAGTGAATTGATACATGGTAAATGCCACTAAAACCGAATTAATTAAAAAAAAAGAATGGCAACATATGTACAAATGTACCTGATTGTATGTATGGGTAGTGATAAGAGCTGTAAGAAACCCCAATTAAAAGATGAAAAATATATATGCATGGTGAAAGGATTATTTATATACTCTGCCCCCCACCCCCTTTATTTATATTAGAGATCAGCCCTTTGCATACTCACCTTAACCCGTCCCTGCATTCAGTACAGTTCTGGGAGTCAGTACATGTCTTGCAGTTTTCACTGCATTTCCGGCAAAGATTTTTCTCTGTTAAAGAAACAAAAAGGTAACAAGGTTATCAATCAACTGGATTTCTAAAAGCACGTGTACACCTGCTAATGCTTGCAATAGGATGTAGCATTACATCCTTGGCCTGACAACAGAAAAGCCCCAGACCCGTGGGCTGGTTATCACTGCTCAGCAAACCAAACCAGGGCAGGGCTTCCAGTGCAGTAGAGCACCCTCGGAATCATCTCCCATTTGTGGTTAAAAGAAGTCTGGCCCTCTACTCACCTTCCCGACACAATCGCCGAAGACAAAGCAAATGTGGTGAAGAAAGCTGATGGTGCCTGACGATTAAAAGATACAGCGGTTTGGGTCTTAAAGGACTGACATTAAAATAGTGGCCATCTAGCAACAAAGCCGACACAGAAGAAGCACACCACCTGTGTGGTCATGAGGTATAGGCAGGAATAGGAATCAGAAGTTCATAAAGGAGTGCAGGCAAAGTGTAGACCCCAAAACCCACCTGCAAGATAGCTGGACAGTCCCTCAAAGAAGGGCCACATGGAAGGGATGATATATCCAGGGTGCAGCATAGCACTGATGAAACACATAACTATCCTCTAGTTATTAGTTTTCCTCTAATATTTCCTCCCCCCAGTATTATGGCCTTAGTTTTACCACACTAATCCTGTTAGACCTGCGTATGTTCATTTGAATAATTAAGATCGTCTGATGGATAGAGAAACCCCTCAGAAGCAGTAAGAGGAGTAACAATTCCTTGAGTGTGTGGGAAAAGGTGGCAAAGGAGGGGCAGGGGAACTGATAACAATGATGACTGCACAACCCAAGGGGCACGAATAACAAAATGGTAGGTGAACAGATACATTGATGGCGTAAATATGACAATAATATATAACACATTAAGAGTCCATGAAAAAAGAAAATGTTTTGGAAATGACGGTGACAGCAATTATACAACTGTCCTTGATCTACCTGAATTATGATTGTTATAATATCTGTAACAGCTCCTAAAAATGATAAAAAACAAAACAAATGCCGAACAGAGGGAAAAAAAGAAGTCTGACACTCTTACTTCATAGTTGATTAGTTTACACTCTGTCTTGTCCTTCTCCCCATCCCCTGTCAAACAAGGATTTCCAACTGCCCTCAGCAAAAATTCCACTCAAAGAAAATTCCATCGTAAAAGAACAACATCTCAGCAGAAGGATCCGGAAGCAATTTTTGAGACCAGGGAAAGGAAGTATAGTCATTCTGGCTCACAGCTTTTAGGACTACTCTGACGCACTGCCTTACATTGAAGAGTACAAGATAAACCCCTCACCTGAACTCAGTTCTGACTCATAGCCACCTCATGCAGAATTTATGAGATTGTAAATCATTGGCGGAATCAACTAGTGACCCTTATCTTTCTTTTGGTGTGTCTGGGAGGTTCAAACCTCCAATCTTGTGGGTTAGTAGCTCAATGCCTTGCCCATATCATCACCAAGGCTCCGAGAATGAAGGATAGGAGACCGCTGATTTATTTTTTGCTTTGCCTCAAACAGTATCTTACAACTTTACAGCTGCTTTGGAATTGATTGATATAAGTGTTAGTATCTGTCAGATAACATCTGTATTCTGGAGAATAGAAATGCATTTGATTGAACAACTGAAATGTACTTGACTGAATAAATTGATAATGAGTAGGAACTTGTTTTTATACTTAATACAAAACCTAGGTGCCAAATGGGAGTGGGATATGGGCAAGAGTGTGTGTGTGTGTGTGTGTGTAGGAGAGGGTAAGAGGTAAATTCATGATTGGTTACCTTTGCTTACTATCCTATCATGAAAAAACCCGCTATTCGGTATATTAACCATCAGTTGCTACAAGGATGATGTTGTGTGTCAGCATAAAGCTGTGCTTGTGAACTGTTGTTTTGTTATAAAGACCTACTAGATTGAATTGGAGCACTGCAGCATACACAGGAAGTTTCTGCATGAGGTTGTCCTTCCTGGATCAGAGGCCTAGATTTACACGTGGGTCTTCTTACCTCCAATGGGTAAGATCAGGGTCTCAGTTCTCTCTCTTGTTGAAGGTAGATTATAATGATGCTTGCATTACGGATTTAATAAAATGAGACAAGGGGACTGTAGGGACTATAAAAGCATGTACAAGCAGCAATTACTACTAGTCACGAGCACATATGTTCATCAGGTTATATATAAATGGGCTCATTCAAGTATAAACTTTAACAAAATGCATTTAGATCTGAGAAAAAAATACACAGACTACTTACGGAAAAACTCCACAGTAGCTGAAGTAATGATCGAAACCAGTGGTTCTCAACTCTCCAAATGCTGTGACCTTTCAATGCAGTCCCTCATGTTGTGGTGACCCCCACAACCACAAAATTATTTTTGTTGCTACTTCATCACTGTCAGTTTGCTACTGTCATGAATCGGGCGACCCCTGTGAAAGGGTCATTCGAGAACCGCTGATCTAAACAGTTCTCTGTAATCAGGCACCTATCAGGGTTCTGGCAAAAGTAGCTCGATTATCATGATCTACAATACAACACTGGGGCTAAGGTTCTGGAGAGAATTTTGATCTCTCCTCTCCTCCATAGGAATTGCATGTACTTCTGGGACCCCTTGTCTCTACTTCCCACCTCATTGTCTACATCTCTATTAAAGTTGTGATTCAGGTTTTAAAACTAGGGGGCAGGTAAGTCAGTCCTGGGGGATACTTGTCCGTTGTTCTTAAGTTGGCAGATGTAAAATGCCTCATCAAGAAAGACCTACCTTTGACTCCATAAAGAATCACCTGTCTATGAAGCAAAGTAAACATTCCAGAAGCTTAACCGATTGTATTGAACTTCTCTCTCTCTCTCTCTCTAAGTTGGCTGTTTCTTTCAGGTTGAGTGGAGAAACAAAATTCAGTGTGTCCCACCCCATGAAGAGAAAGACACCCGTGTTGAGATAAGCTATCCAGAGCTTGACAATAAAGCACGTGTGTCCTTTCAGTGTCCCGTTGGAATGCTTTCCTACGGCATACTGTCTGCTTAGTAATCACAGTTAAGATAACACAGGCTCCGTGAAACTGAAGTTAATTGACAGATTTTTGTTTGGATGTTTCAAATGATTTCTCTCCATGAGGAAAAAACTCATCCCCATGAAGGAACTGGATCCATCCAGTCTCCACCTTGATTTCATCTGGCTTCCCCAACAGACAGACTGTCCAGGTGTGGCCACCCCGAAACCACGTGCAGAGGCCCTCATTCACGGTCACCCTACATTGTATTACATCATATGGAACCACACCAGCTCAAACCCAAAGCCTCGAGACGGTCCAGCTCACAGTGAGCCCCCGGCAGAGTCGGCCTGTCCCTGAGGTTTCCGAGACTGCCGGTCTTTAGAGAAACAAAGAGAAGCTCACCTTTCTCAGCCTGAGCAGCGGGTGGGTTTGAACCGCTGACCTTAGAATTAGCTCCTAAACCAACTATGCTACCGGGGTTCCACAGTACATGACAGTCCTTTGGGTTTTCCCTTCCCCCTTTGTTTCTGAAACTTACACGGGGATAAGCAGAGGGCTGGCCCTGGTTTGCCGTTGGGCAGAACAGAGGAGCTTTGAGGCTCTCCTGTGAAAGGCATGCTTACAAGGTCAGTCTGTCCTTGCTGGCATCTGAAAACTTGCATTCGGGAAGTGTACCTACTCTTCTTTAGAAAGAGGGTTTCCCGGCACCGAAACCGTTTGTGCCAATAGTATCTGAACACCTACCTGCTTTGGTGCTTGTCAGGCCGAGGGTACGTACCCAACCAGCTCCTGATGAAAACCTCAGTGCCGAGTCTCTTAAGAGCTTCTCGCTAGATGGCATTTTACAAGCACCCTTACAAATTGTTGCTGGGAGGATCAGACATGTGCTGTCTGTGACCCCATCTGGGAGAAAGAGGGGGCTCTTTGCTTTACAAAGACCCCCAGCCTCGGGCGCCTGTATAGGGTCCCTATGCGTCAGAATGGACTGGGTGGAGGTGGGCTTGGTTTGGCTCTATGGGGAGAAAACTACAAGCCACCCTTTACCTTTCCTGCTTTGGCCCAGGTACCGTTTCCCTCTACAGACTGACCTTGCATCCTGCTTTCTGTGACAAACCTTCAGCATGAATGAGTGAGGAAGGCTACATACATGCTGAGTCTCTGAGTTCTTCTAGCAAATCACTGAGCCTGAGGATGGGGTGGTCCTGAGGGCTCCCAGACACAGGTAGGTTATTGGCACTTTACATCAAGACTAACAAAGGAGAGATGCCACTTTCTTAAGCGAAGCCTAGAGTCACACAGGAGGAATACCCCATTCTAAGGCTGCTCACTTAAAGACAAAGCCTCCCTTTCCTTGCTCAAACCCCAACATCTGAAACCAACTCACGGACATCTTGGTAGAGCCCCTCTGGGCAGTGGGTGACACAGCTGTGGGTTTCCTCGCTCAGGAAGGAGCCTTGCTTGCAGGAGAGGCACTGGTCGCTGTGGCTCCCAAAGCAGGACTCACAGCTGAAGGCACACTTCCTGCAGCGTTTCTTGTCAGCATGGTAGTGGCCGAGCGGGCAGCTGGAGACACAGACCCTGTGTTGTGGGAAGACAAGGAAGAAAAGCCGTGTTACCAGCAACTCTACCCACAGCTCGTGGAGGGGTTGTGAGCAAACTTCAGTGTTGGGTCACAGCCTTCTTATGAAGTCATGTTGGTTCCACCACATGCCAGGGGCCAAGTTTGGTCTGCTGAGCTTTCTCACCCACAGGGTGTGAAAGCAGCCACGCGGCACCCCAAAGCCCAGCACCTCTGGGTTCCTCTTACCTAGTGTTGTTCCGCAGCTTGTAGTAGTAGTGTAGACAGTCATTGCAGTGCTCCGGCCCCGGCCCATCACAGCCCACCTCACTGCACTCAGGGTCACAGGGGCCTTTGCAAAACAGAGCAGAGCAGCCTGTCACAACATGCCGTTGACCCAGGTCAGCCTTCACTGGAATTTGGCCTAAGCCATTTCCTGTCTTCTTAGGCTCTGGATGTTTCTTTACGATGGAAGAATGGTGACCACTGTGGTTGTAAGCCGGAGATAAGTAAACCCTGGCTTTTGGTGGAAAGCTCTCATTGCCTAACTCTCAAAAATGTACACCCTGTTCATGTAGCACATGTCTCACAATTCAAATGAATAATGCCATCATCATAACTTTCGGGGGGAAGAAACCAGAAAGCCCTATGCAATTAAATATGCATAACATTGCAAATGTTGGATTGATGGAAAAATTAAAACTATGGCTGTTGACAGAAAAGAAAGAAAGGTTATTATTCAATGCCTGGTGCAGATTGCCTGCCTCATCCAAGGCCCTTCAAGCCACTGCATACCTCCGAGGCACCGTAGCCCACCAGCAGCAGGACTACGGCGTCCGGCCCGCACTTGTCAGCATCTAGGCTTGGGTTTCAAAGCAGGCACTTCAGGCCCAGACAGTAGATTTAAAACTGCATCTTACCCGAGAGTCAAGGCAATTCAACAAAAGAAAGGGACAACTAAACTAAACAAACAAACAAAAAAAAAGAATTCAGGATCTAGGACAGAGGCTCCTAATATTTTTGGCAACACATTCCTCCATGTAAGGCTGAGCCAGGAGGCACAGTGAGAAAACAAGCCATTGGCCGGGAGCATGAACCTATTTGTGATTGACAAAAGGGCTCTAATGATAAGGCTATTGAAGTTCTCTTTGTTTCAATGTCCTCTTGCCTATTCTCCATATTTGGGGACATTTAGTCTCATCATCTTTAAGCACTTTGCCATGGAATAGGCGCCCAATTTTAACGAGCAGTAAATACTGATCGCATAAAATGTACAAACAGCAAGCTCAGAGCACCAGAAGTGTTTTGAATTGTATGTTTGAAATTGAGAACTTACTGAATCAAGAGACATAAAATGTGAGCCCCAGAATGGAATGACTTTAAAAATTTTGTAAGCACTCTCACCCAACTTAAGGGGGGCAAAAAAAGCCCTATTTTCCTCAAGTTCCCAAGGCTTGTCCACCATCGCTGTGTTGAGGACGGGGTGAGAGGTGGGATCAAGGTGTCTGCTGCTTCCTTGTCCGGGTCTCTGGCCTAGTGGTGGTAAATCATGTCCCAGAGATGACCTCCTGATCGGAATGGGAATGAGTCATTTAAAACACCCGAGGGCTTGGAATACATTTCTGATTAATCCCAAGAATCATCTGACAGCACTGTTTATTTTCCCCCTAAAGTCTTACACTAATCTCTGAGTTGAATTCCACAGCGAGGACATCATGGGGCAGACCTTTTAACCAGATTCCAGGGAATACTGAAGGAGTGCTGTGGGGGCTGATGTTCAGCCAGCAGGGGTCTCTTGGTCCCTAGTATGCCTCTGCTTTTTAAATATTGATTGAAGCCAGAGGTTCAAAAGTACCTAGATTTCCACCAGCTGACTTCTAAAAAAGACAGGGAGACAGACCCCAATACTTTGATTCTTGGTATGTGCCAGAAGGGTGCTGTGCGGCAAGACACTCAAGCCCATGTTCAGTGTTACTTAATGTATCGACATAAAATGCTTCCAGATGCAGTCGGCATTATAGGTTGGAGGCTAGCACCGAAGTAATTGTGTTTGAGGACGCCTCGCAAGTTCACACTCAAATAATGTGGACGTTTGAAGCGGTGATGAGAGAAACCCCACACAGAAGGGAAGCAGGCTGGTATAGCCTTTGAGATCGCATCGGTGGGTTCTGATACACTTTCTCACAGTGGAGAAGACAAAAATGGCTTCCTAGGTACAAGATGAACATCAAAACAAACACAATCTAGCCCTGGTTAGTTCAATTGGTCTTAATTATCCATTAACCAATCACTGAGTCTTAGATAATCCTTATTTCAGAATTAAAGGGAGCATAAGAATATTTAAGATGAATGATGAGGGCAATGAATGTACAAATATGCTTTACACAATGGATGGATGTATGGATTGTGATGAGTTGTACGAGCCCCCAATAAAATGATTAAAAAAAAATGCTATGATTAAAAAAAAAAAATTTAAGACATGGGGGAGGGAGGGGAAAAGAGGAGTTGATACCAAAGGCTCAAGTAGAAAGAAAACATTATGGAAATGATGAAGGCAACATATGTACAAATGTGCTCGATACAATTGATGTATGGATCAAATAGAAGAGTCTTAAGAGCCCCCAATAAAATGATTTAAAATAAAAAACATTTAAGATACTATTAAGGTGAGTTATTAAATAACGTATATATTCATGTGTAAGCAGAGTTTGAGTATATACGGTACTTCTTTAGTATGTAGGGGAAAGATCGCAGAGATTTTCAGGGGGAAACATGTTCCTTCAAGGATTAAAGTGTTGTAGCCAACACCTCCCAATTAAGGGCAGCTGTGTCTGCTAGGTGTAATACATCACTTCTATAAGGTTTAAGGTGCTCTCGTGGTGTACTGCGTTGATGCACTGACTTGCTCACCGCAAGGTCAGCAGTTCAAACACACCGCTGCTCTGCTAGAAAAAGATGAGGCTAGCTACTCCTATAAAGATTTAAAGTCTCTGAAACTCGAAGTCTGTCTTTTAAAAAATTCGTTTTATTAGGGGCTCACACAACTCTCATCACAATCAAAGTCTGTCTTATGGGATCATATGAGTTGGAATTCACTGGAAGGAAGCCAGTGTCTGAAGATGTAAGCATTCCTGGATGCTGTGGCCAATCCAACGCGATGGGAACCAAGTATACTCCCTGCCATCGAGTCCTGCTGACAGAGACTCCCTGTGGGTTTCTGAGACTGTAACTCCTATGGGAGTAGAAAGCTCTTTGTCCTGAGGAGCTGCTGGTGGTTTAAACTGCTGACCATGCAGGTCGCAGCCCCACGCGCAACCACGCCTCCCACACATGTGTTAGGAAGGAGAAGACAAATAGTCACAGCTGATAGGTCTAGAGTACCTAAACTATTCCAGAAAATTAATCTAAAGCATATAAATTAAAGAGCAAGTTAATCAAATATCCCACAGCCAATCTACTAGGTAGAAAACATGCAAGGTTTCCTACCACAATCACAATCAAAATATGGAAGAATAACAAGAAAACGGCATAACAATAAAAAATTTCAGTAAGATGAGATATGGTCTATGTTTTGGATGGAAAGATTCTATATGGAAAACAAAAACATACTCTGCCTATGGGGTTGCATGTGAACATAATTAATTCCAAAAGATTTTAAAAGGAGGCTTAACAAATCATTCTAAAACTTATTTGGACAAATGGGGCGGGGACAAAATTGCTATGAAAATAGGAAGTATATGTTCTATAGATATGAAAATATATGGCCAATTTAAGAGAACAGCGTGTGGCTGTGAAATTTTGTTTCCTGCTTGGGAAAAATGCCACAGCAACGGTTGTTTCTCACTCGGACAACACTATGGGAAAATGTCAATTGATGGCAAACCTCATTCTGGACGTCTGCCCTCCCAACTGAACAGAGATTCCTGCACTTGCGCTTGTAGACCGACAACGGCCACTGAAGAGATGGGGAAGCCATCTGGACTATGTTGGAGCTCAGTGAGAGGATTGTAATGGAATATTTGGGAATTAGAAGGGCCACTGTAAAATGTGTGCCTCGGGTTCTGACTTAGCAGGAAAAAGAGTGTGGCGTGGAAACATGCTGTGCTTTGAAAGCCCCAGCCTTTTTGTCCAAGGTCATTACTGGTGACATGACACGGTGCTGTTCTTACAACCCCGAAAGCAAGTATCAATCAAGCCAGGAAAAGATGCCATCCTCACCTTGGCCCCCCAAAAGCTCATCAGCTGAAATGAAGATCAAGACAATGCTCATTTGTTATTTTGATGTGGGGGGGATAGTGTATTTGGAGTTCATTCCACCAGGTGGGACTCTTAGGCTTTTTTTTCGGGGCTTTTAAGTGGTTGCTTAACAGTGTGCGACAACAGGCCCTATTTGTGGCAGACCACACAGTTATCTCAGTGTGAGTGTTTTGGGCAAAAAACAGCATGCCTTTCTTGCCCCACGCACCTTACTCACCTGACCTTGCTCCCTCTGACTTCTTTTTGTTTCCTCGAATGAAGAGGGACATGAAAGGACAGCGATTTGATGACATGGAAGAGGTGAAGGAAAAAATGAGGGAGGTGCTGTCAGCCATCCAAACAGATGAGTTTGAGAATGTTTCCAAGAATGGAATCATAGATTTGACAAATGTATTACGTTTAACAGAGAGTACTTTGAAGGTGATA